TTCTCCAATTTTGAAAAATAAAAGTAGGCTATGAGATCACCTTTGTCTGTCTGTGTGTATCTGTCCTATCGTTGCTAGGCAACACTGCAACAATAGAATTGTTTGACCCATCGTTTTCTATGCGCTCCGTGTCGTATCAAAGGGAAGTAGGCGATTGTTTCCATAAATTTTGTTTAACCTTCCTAATGAAGGATTATTTTGGACCTGTTAGTATCTGCCATTTGTTGCGCATATAGCCCTGAGTTAATGCAATTGTTATTACAATCTGTTACTAAAGTTTATCCGTGAGCTGAGAAATACATCCAGATTGGACGTTATGGAATGCAGCTGTAAGTGAACATACTCTTAAACGCAGAAGGGACTATGGCGCAACTATTGTGATGCCGAGACCATTCACTTTCTCCACGTCCCCACCTTCATCCTATTGAGCATCCAGGTAAAGGTGAAAAGATAAAGTTGTCCCAGTTCTTAAGTGCCACGCAATGAATGCGTAAGGGGGTATGGAGGTATAGCTCCACGCGTAGTTATCCTGTGCACTAGATGGACTCTAGTGGTCAGTTTCACGATCCTTGAGCAAAATGCCCCTAGTACGCATTCGACAAGGGGATGGGTGGGCCGCAGAGCCTATCTCCACACTGGAGAAGAGAAAAAGCCCTTTCCTTTGCCGGAAATCGAACTCCAATTCATCTGTCCGCCGACCCGTAACATAGGACATCCAGAGACGAAGAAAATACTGTTCATATTACAGGCATTTGTTCCAGCGCGGCTGCCCCTATGGGGGCGGAGTGTAGCGGCCCTTTGGCTGGGCAAGAGTAGATTCCCTGTGTTGTAGTACACGTAACCCAGGTAAACACGAACCATGTGGTAAAGTGTGTAATTGTGGCCTCAGATTAGATAATGTATTTGTCACATTACCCTTTTGATGTAACGAATTTCCAATATAATTTGCAATCGTGCACTAAATTGTATTTCACGAAGATATGTATAGGAAAACAAACTTTTTCTAATTAGCTATCCTTTATATTTTCCCTCATTTTGTTTTCGAGCTGGGTGTTGGATATAGCATGACATACTGTTCCATTGCGGAAGCACACGGTAGCGTAGTTGGTTCAGGGGCTATGCTACAAGCTGGAAGGTCGCGGGTTCAAGTCCCGATGAGGTCATTGGATTTTTTCAAATGACTTAATCCTTCCAGCCGCACTATGGCCCTGGGGTTCACTCAGCCTCTAACAGAAATGAGTACCAGGAATTAATTAAATAATTTTCCTTGAGAGTAAAGCGCGGCCGGCGTGTAAGGCTGATAACCTTACTGCCATCTTTGAGTCGATTGTCTAGATAATGTGGGACCCTCAACGTCTCACGGCCTGGTACAGGGATAGCTTTACTTTTTTTTTTACTTTTACTGTTCCATTACACAAAACCGTTTTTGTACTTCCCCCTCCCCCGTATTCTAACCGCAAACCCAGTCCACAGTAACCTTCAATTTCAACGTCCGAATAGTACCAGATGACCTTATAAAATCAATAATAAAAATAAATACCTAAGAATAATCACCACAGTGATACTATGTAACCTCGATGGCCAATATAACGTCGGAGAGTACAGCCGTGTATGCAAGGTATACTCGTATCTGTCTATGGCTCTACAGCCCTTTGTTGGACCTTGGCCGCTTTTTCAGTTTCTTGATCTTTTACACAGCCGGTACGACTCCTTGGACAGGCGATCAGCCCGTCGCAAGGCCACTACCTGCACACACATGACAACACAGACATCCGTGCCTCGGGGGATTCGAACCCACGACACCAACGTTTGAGCGGGCGAAGACGGGTCATGTCTTTGACCGCGCGACCGCTGTGACCGGCGTATACATAGCATGCCTCACTTAAATTCCACGTAGCCCCCCCCACACACACACACACACACACGCACACACACCTACGAATATGGGCAGCCTCGGTGTCTGTTATGTGCATGCATTGATGACGAATATTACCATGCAATCAAGTTCAAGTCTTGTAATAACCAGCACTTGTTCGGACGACCTTACAACATGAAGCGCCCACTTCAGGTACTGAATAGGCAGTGTCAGGATTCTTTGCGAGTGACTCAGGCAGTGCAGAAATCACGTAGCTAACCTCGCTTGTGTGATATGTTGTACAAACATGAAATAAGTTGAAAGCCGATGGCTATAGCAGCTAGCGAGTTCGTTAAAAGTAGGAACCATCGCCATGGAACGAGGCCAGAATTAGCGCAGAAAATAACGAGCAGTAGAAACGGCCGTGTGTGTGGATCAGTGTGTTTCTGTCGTGTGAAGGAGAAAGAGTGAGTTGAGTGGCTTCTTGCGAGAATTTGAGGCACGTTGTACTTTGTTCCGTGATGCTCTTCACGAGGATATCACTTTTGATCGCTTAAGAGGTAACATTACTTCCACAAGTGCAATGGATTTGTGCATGTCTTATCCAGTGTATTCACAAGCATTACTGATTTGAGCTACTCATTATCAGAATCATTTACTGATTGATGTTGCGGTTATTTCATTTGTGATCAAATTTCCCCGAGCCGAGAGAGTTCTGTCATATCGTTAATATTAATATATTTTTCAGCATCCTGTTACAGTGGTTAACGATTTCAGGGGCAGTCTTAAAGGTGCAACGTCTTCTAGTGTTCGCAGACTACTGGTGTGACAGACACATTGTCAGAAACCAATATGTTACCTCTCTGACGCAACATCACCGGAGTAGTTGATCTAGCGTCGTCACAAAAACCAATATTGAAACATTTTGTTAGTTGATGCTATACACACTACAGAGTGTCCGAGACAGAGTACATACAATTTAAACACTTTACTTGAGAAACCAGAGCTAGGAGAGTACAGTTTCATCACATGCCATCGCAACTGACAGAGTTTTACGTTTGATTTATTTTCTCATGGGGGTGAGACTGTGTCACTTGTTACTGCGGCCAATCGAGTGCAGTATTAGCAGATCAGATTATGTCATATTTGAAGAGTTCTATCTTCTGTGACATAACGCTGTCTAGTCCGTTGAAAATCAAGCGACGTTTAGGAGGGACATATGCGTCTATCTTCAGGGTCGAAGAATTAAGCAAGAAACCACCGTGAAGCAGAGAGCTGTTCAGAGCATTAAAAGTATGTACTGTTTCTTGCTCTTCGGTATTGTATATTAATCTAAGTCAAGAAATGGCATATATTTAGTATAAGATCGTATTGATTTTTACCACCTTGTTGCCAAGTCTCCCCGGTAACTGTCACGAAGGTTGATGGTGCGTGGCCCGAAGTGCGCCATATTGCTGACAGCCACGAGCATGTAACTTTGTTCCCATTGGGCTGCATTTCTATCATATTCATGGTTCTGTATTTTGCATTTTATAACATTCGAATCCAGACACATAAGTAGGCCTGCTTGTCAGTACATTGAGCCCACACACCGTGTTAATCATTAACATAACTGTACTGAAGTTTCTGACGAAGCCAGAATTCGTTGCATCATTTGCAGACATGTGTTTAAAAATGGAAGTTAAGACAGAACTAAAAATATGTTCATGTTATCACTAGAATCCAGTACAAAATAAGTATAATGAGATAAATAATAAATCTTTCGAACATACGGCAATGTTCATTATGTGTGTGTGAACGACAGTAAGGAATGAGAATTCCATTCGCCAAAAAGTTAATAGCAAAATAAATTCGGGGATGCCCACTGTCGTTCCTTAGTTAATTTCGTGCTATCCGCTCCCCTACCAGAATCCTGTGACGCTTAAAAGCCGGAATATCGAAGTCGAAGCAAACATACATCGATAGCCAACAGCTGGGTAAACATTGTTCCCCGCAGTGCAGTCAGCCATTGCTAGGTAACAGTTGCTTAAATGCATTCCAATTTCAACACATAGCACCGAACGTCCATCTCTGGAACAACAGTTAAGTAAGTGGTTATGGTTACTGCGGTAATTACAATGGCTCCCAACCCAACGGGAGCTCAAAGAGCAGAATGGGACCCTGCGGGTCGGTGTTTGCTATCACAGCCGCCTAACAGCTATAACCAGATGTTAGAAGAAGAAGAAGACCGTAGACCTGCGGGTTGTAGGAGGCGACGAAAAGGGAAGTCTTGAATGTGAGACAGTAAATCGGACCCGAGAATGACTGCGCTGGCGAGGGGAAGCAGCAGTTGTAAACGACAGACTCGCCCTGTCGTCAGAGAGAGCGCCCCACATCAACAAACCCGCAACTGCCTCACAGTAATAAAATCTGGTCATAAGCCCCGGTTGGGTGCCTTATTCCAAGACAGACTGCCCGACTGACCGTCGGTCGTAACATGAGATTCAGACACAAGAGACGACGAAAAGGTACTCGGGCATGAGAATGACTGCGCTGTCGAGGACCAGCAGCAATTGTAAACTACAGACGCATCCTCTCGTCTGAGATGGTGTTACATAAAGACTATAACCGCAAGTGTTCAGTTGGAAAATAAAAATTTTGGTCGGCGGCCTCAGGGGCTCGTCGCGAAGACGAACTGATTAGCGGTAAACCGTCAGTCGTAAAGTAACTCTGAGTCAGAGGAAGTGGTCAGAGTTCTAGTAAAAGACCAGAAAACCAGGGACGAGTTCGCCGTTATCAGTATGATTTTAGGTTACGCGTTTTTGTTCTTTTGGTAACTTTTTTGGTTTTGTTTATGTAAACACGTGCTATTCTGATAGTTGTGGCTTTAGTGAATAAAAAAGTAAAATGACTGCATTGAAGCATTCTTTTGTAACGCAGTAGTGCGCACATTTTTCTGAGTCATAAACATTCCAATATCCATCATAATCTTCAGTATCGGTGTCTGTATCGTATCTAATCTATCCAGATACTACCTACTGTTTTTCTCATAACTGTACTTCGCTTGCGACGTAAGTACTTGATGAAATCCAGACTGAGTAAGAACAAGGATCTGTTACTTTTCTCTGCCTTCATGTTTACTTATTTATTTGTCTGTTTGTTGCAGGTTTAGTTCAGAGGTGGGACATGCTGCAGACACGGGCGGAAGATCTGCAGCGAGTTCGGACACTACAGCGCGAGATGGCAGCACTGCGTGATGAGCTCCTGGATCTTGCATCGAGAGTGTCATCTTTGGAATCCGAAGTTCAGGACCGGGAGCAGTTGGAGACGAGGATTCAACAAGTGAAAGTAAGCGGCATCCATCATTTGATGGTTAAACACAATTTCATGGAGAATACGAGTCATCTTAATTCTCCAGCGTATGTAACGTTGATATTTTATTTTAATGGTCAGATCTCTTACAGCTAGCACATCAGCTGTAGATTCTAAAGGGTTCTGACGATGGTGTATGACACTCGTAATTACTGGGTTTTTTAATTTTGTCCATCTTACGATATTCAAAAGAACACAAGTACCTTACCTGATGGCGGAAATAGCCAATTTCCGAAGCGTTTGGTTCTTTAGTGTTCTTCAGAATACTGGACGATGGACAAAACAAAACAAACAGAAAACACACTTCGTGGTTTTTAGTCCCCAAGCGAACTACACCGACCGAGCGACCGCCGTTTGTCGGCGAAGTTAGTGCCAACTTTAGCGGATAGAGGGTGTCGCGTGGTCAGCGCAACGAATCCCAACAGCCGTTAATTTCGGTTTTCTAGACCGGAGCCGCTGTTTCCTTAAAATAACCCTTCGGTTATCCTCACTAGGCTGAGTGGACCCCGTTCCAGACCCACTACTTTTCATAAAATCTGGTAGCGCCCGGAATCGAACCCGGACCTCTGGATGTGTAGCTAGGAACTCTGACCACTAGACCACAGAGGCGGTCACTGGACTGTTTCTGATACTCTCTTGCTAAAGACAGGATCAGTAATACGCTCTGTTTGGATTTATATGTTTCTGTAATTGGGTAAGGAGATCGCAGTTTGTAGTGCATGACGTTAGGAGGCTGTTGATCCCATTAGCTTCGCCGTTGGGCTTACGGTCCGTCCCATTGATTAAGCTGGATTTTATGAGTAAGGGAGCGTTAATAGCTTAATTAGGCTAGGGTGACGATGCCCGTTGATTCTGGCTGCACACCAGTTACGGGCTCATGATATTCGTCGTTTGTGAGATCTCTTTACATTACGGCTCAGTGGTCACTCTTTGGCGCGAATGGGGCGGACTTCTGTGTGTGGTTGAGCTCCCATAGCTTCTGTGCCCCACGGAATACCAGACAAGCTCTGAAGGGTTCTGGCGATGATGTATAACACTCGGAAATCCAGGGTTTTCACACTTTGTCCATCGTCCGATATTCTAGAAACCAGAGAACACGGCGTTTCGGAAACTGGATTTGTTTCCATCCTCAGATGAGGTGAGTAAGACACCTACTCTGTTGGGTCTCTTAGAAAGAGCTAACCTCAGTCACTTGACAGCCCCTGTCATATTCACTACATTGGTGCTCATGCACTTGGTTTTGTTGGCAAGTCCAAAAACCTAGTAATTCTGAGAGTAATTTCATTCGATTTGTTTCGTAAGACGACTGCCACAATTTGTGTATTTCTAAAGTAGGCCGCACACCGGCATGCGTCAAGACATGTAACAGTCAAGACACTATGTCTGCGACAGAAAGAAAGGAGCACAGTTAAAACGAATTAGATTATGAAAGCCGCCGCACACCTGTGAGTCATGATGCTGACGTCAGCTTCATGCTGACGAATCACGAATGAAGCAAGACTGTGTCATTTGCCTCATGTCTTGATGCTTGTCTTGACGCAGTTGGTGTGCGGCCGCACGTTACTTCATTGCCATATTATTGGCTTGAATTTTTTAGGGATGATAGGGGAATTAATTTACACCCCTCGGATTAATTTTTCCGTCAACGCAGAAATAGGGTAATTTATTTCGTCCCTTTCTTTGCCCATTTTGTATCTCTGTATACCCCCGTATATGCGCTCCTGTGTACGTTTGTAGTGCTCTGTGTTACCGCTTACGTGTCCTGTGCGAGGTATACTTAGGAAATAATTGCCGGTAGTGGAGCAGATTTCAGCACCAATTTTCGAAGCACCTGATGGATCATATCGGTCAAAACATGTATTGCACGAGGTACAGGTAAAGGTATCCCTGTGACAGGCCGTGGAAGCCTATAGGGTTGTGAGACGTCGAGACTCCCACGTTTTCTAGACAATCGGCTCAGAGATGGCGGTAAGGTTGTCAGCCTTACGCGCCGGCCGCTCTTTACCTCCAACGAAATTTCCTGGTACTCATTTCTGTTAGAGGCTGAGTCGACCCAAGGACCATAATGCAGCTGGAATGATTAGGTCAATATAAAAATCAAATAACCTCATCGGGAATCAAACCCACGTCCTTCCAGCTTGTACCATAGTACCTCAACCAACTACGCTGCCGCGTTCCCCATGTAGTGCACCGGTGATATGGAAAGTAATTTGAAATTAAAAAGTGAACTTTAAGATTTTAACACAAATTTGCGCGTGGGACAGTGAGTAAGAAGTGAAAATGAGTGACGTACAACGGGATGCTGCGGTACCTGGCGTGACTAATAAGTGTCGGGATACGATTCCTGTCAAAATGACCAGACTGTGACATTACAGACATGTCAGATTGATGTAGCGAGTGAATTTGTATAGTGAAGAAATCTGAGCCCTGCAGAAAGTGCGAACATTTTTTGTTATTGCTAGTGGAGTGGGACTAAGTCCCTTGTACTGCGGCCACTTCTGGCCTATTATACCAGCCCCAGATGATAGGTGAGGGTGATTGTGAAGCAATTGGTGGAATGAAGATTGGCAGGGGAAACCGAAGCACTCGGAGAAAATCTGCCCCAGCGCCACTTTGTCCACCACAAATCCCACTTGACCAGGTGGAATGAAGATTGGCAGGGGAACCGAAGCACTCGGAGAAAATCTGCCCCAGCGCCACTTTGTCCACCACAAATCCCACCTGACCAGACCCGGGATCGAACCCGGGCCACCGCGGTGGGAAGCCAGCGACTAACCGCTTGAGCTATGGCGCGGCCAAGTGCGAACATACTGTGCATCGTATAGCCTGTTGTTATTTCTCACGAGTTAATAACAGACAGGTAAAGAGCCAGACACAGTGGCCCTCGTCTGATACGTGTATTGTTTTTTACCGCTCAAACACTGGTAATCTTGAGGTCAGATCCCACTCACGGCATAGATGTATGTAATTGTGTGTTAACAGAGTAATGAGATTAATCATGTAGTGCGAGAACTGAGGGCACTGTTGCGCCGCGGCCGCTACGAGACGATAGCTACATCCCTCCTGTACCTTCAGTCCAAGTTTGAACTTGCTGACGTGAATGCATTTGCTTCTCTTGTGGTTCGTGTAGATGTGTGTTTTGTTACAGCGTCACAAAAATGGAGAAGGATAACCTGGAGCAACGTTATGCAATCAAGTTTTGTGCCAAGCTGGGGCAGGGTGCTACCGATTATGGAAAGACTCAGACAGTGTTTGGTAGTGACTGTCTATCATATACACGGAGACTCTGTAACGGGCGAGAAACAGTGGAGGATGAATCGCGATCTGCGAAAGCAAGCACAAACATCGGCCGCATGAGGACTTTCATTCTTCAAGATCGCCGTTTGGCAATTCGAATGATCGCCGATGAACTTGATCTTAAGGAATGTACGGTCCACCAAATCGTTACGCGAGATTTTAACATGAGAAAATTGTGTGCTGAGATGGTTCCAAAACATTTAAACAAGAATCAAAAGGCGCACTGAAAAGAAGTGTCAGCAGAAATCCTCGAACGGCTCGAAACTAATAATGAAGAAAGTTGGTTTTTCGAATACGACCCGGAAACCAAGAGGCTCCGTGAGGAATGGCGCACGCCACAGATTCCAAGACAGAAGGAAGCTCGCATGAGAAAATAAAACACAAAGAAAATTGTCATTTTTTATATTGTCGCGGGGTAGTTCGTAAAGAATTTGTAACGCCAGGCGTCACAGTGAATCAGAAACATTATCTTGAAGTCCTAGCCCGTCCGAGAAAGAGGAATCTAGGGGTCTTATATAAACGTTTTCGAAACCTGGGATACGGGAAAGCTTGAGCCGCATTAGCCTGTTGTGCCGAAGAAGAAATACAGAAAGAGGTTTTCTTGTAGTAAATTTCATAATTGGTTCCATGTAATTAAAATTTCTTATCGTTCGGACTAGACCTCATACACGTGGAAAATAGATTCCTCTGGCGTCGACTGAACCAGCGAGACTTGTACTCCCAATTTTAACAGCGGCCGCTAGATGGCTCAAGCTGTGTCGCCCGGTGTGGGGGGTTAAGACGACGTGCATCAACACAAACATTGCCCTCTCGGTGTTCACCGACAACCATGACACGTTTACGTATGTCATATAAGTTCCAATTTTAAACGGTTATAGATTCTATGATAATTTAATTGATGAAGTGTTCCAGAGATGTAAATATTAAAGTTCTTGTTGGGGGGGGGGGGGTTACATGCAAGATGGGTTTGAAATGCAGGTGAAAATATGTAAGCCCTCCCCTTACTGCTTCGGCTTCTCATTTTTGACTTCGTATACACTGAATTGCTTAAGTCTCATCTCTGAGAATTTTTACGGAATTGATGGCCAGAGTGCCCTTTAAAGACCTAACGTTTGCTACATGATATATAACTTTAGTTCGTACCTCACAGGAAACATCACATCTCCGCTACATAGACTAACCGGTTAATGCCCCTTAGGGACACAGTCGCTCTCTGTGCAGTGTGAGAACCATATAAAACATACAAATATACTGTGCGGTCAGAATACGGGATTTTAATATGCCAGAACATGTGATACACATACGAGAACATACGTAGAACCATTGAACGAAGCATAAGAGGCTTCAGCTTGGCTGCGGTCAGGCAGGCGTACGACCGTTGTAGTGACTGCTGTTTCGGAGTGGCATAATCTGCTGCACAGGCGTGTACTGACAGGTCTCCTGTGTACGTCTCGCATAAATGTTGTTCATTGTAGTAAAGTGGCAGCGTGTATGGTGTTCATACATTTCCAGTGCCCGAACCTGGACGCTGTGTGAACACGGCTACACCCACGATGCAACAGACGTGGCGCCTGGTCAGACAGACCAAACCCCTCTTGTTGTCGAAGAGGAGACCACATTTCCATACACACAAACGGTCTTGGAATTAACAAAAATTTGGTAGTGTGTCCCGACAGGAC